AAGCCTTTCTTGATCGGCACAGGTATGCCTCGTGAAACCAGGTTTACCTGTGCCCATCAAGAAAGGCTTCTTTGTCGACGCGGCGCGTCCAGACTGCCCCGATCTGCCGACAAACAGCTGATCGGCAGAGCGGGGCAGCCATTTAAATTTAAATGAAGCCGCGATTATTTTAATCGCGGCTTCATTTCCCTCTGCCAATCTGTCTAATCTACATGCCTCCGTTGACGGAGGCATGTAGTCTAGACACACCCTAATAGACAATGTAGAGATGAGCTCATACTGGTTGGATGTACATCTGGATCCAAATTTCTTCTGAGTTTGAGGAAAGTAGGGTCTGGTAAGTCAAATTCCTTCTTGCTGCAGTATGTCCAAACAAGGAAATGCTAAACCAGATCTGAAATTCCCAGAGTGGAGAGTTTCCAATACAGATGCAATCTAGGCCCAACTTCAGGTTTTTAATATACCACACTTCCTTCATTTTTCTCTGTCTCTATATCCGTACTCGAGGGGTGAGGAATATTTTTGGATCGGGGGGCTGTTGACCCACAGAAAAATGAGTGGGGGAGGGCATACACAAGTGAGAAGCAAACACTTACAACAAACAAACAAACCCCCCCAAACATGTGGCCTGACTCAAAAGGAGAAAGACACTTGCCACATTCCCCTTGAATACTTGAGGCTAGGAGGGCCCAGGCTAGTAGATTTTGTGTGCTCCAGCCCCATGAGGGAATTGGGTGGGTGGGGGAGGGGGGTTGGAGCACCAGTACAGACTCCCCAATGCTGGGGGAAGGGGAAGTCCTGAGCCTCGGGGGCCACATCCGTTCCCCAGGCCTTAGGTTCCCCACCTCTGCCCTACTCGAACACCTCTGGCTGACGAAACAATCCCTTACACTGGAATTAACGCTGGAGCTCAAGTTGCACAATTCTGGCTCCAAATGAAGCTCTGAACCGTCCCAAAATGCAAGGGAGGAGGCGATTTGTGATGCGGGGGTTTGGGTTCATCCAACGCACAGGCAGCAGCCAGGCTGCCAAGCCAGCAGCCAGGAGAAAAAAATAGCCCTTGTGTGTGGGCACTTCAGCAGTGCTACCCCGACTGATGTTAACTGGCAATGCTTGAGGCTCTGAGAGCTCTGTGGTGAAAATCCAGATGCCTCCATTTTACCTCAGACCTGGCTGGGGGACATCAAGGCTCCTCTCAACCCCACCCCCTCACCGTGTAACAGGAAAGCTCCATCCACTAGTCCCCTGAGTCTCCCTCACCCCCTCCATTCCCTGGCGCTCTAGACAGCCACAGTTTCACAAAACAAGTGCCTACCCTGAGATGAAGGGATCTGATCTTCACACTGTTGAGGCCTAGCAGCTACTAAAGCCTTAGGAGAGCAGCCTGGGCCTGAATTCAGCAGCCACTGAGCATTTTACTCAGCTTGGCCACTATTTCCCTTCCCTGACTGTTCCCCACCAGCTGGCCTGGCAGTGGGGCCACCCCAGAGCCCCAAGTGCCTTTCCAGGGGCTGTGCTGGAACCAGCCCTGTGAGCCTACTTCCATGCAGCTCCCAGCAGTGTTTTCTGGGCAGCCTTCCCCCGCGGACCCCACTGCGAGGGGCAGAACTGGCTGTGGCCATACTGGACTCAGAAGCAGCAAAGTGCAAAGAGCCCCGGCCCGACCCATCCATTAGGCACAGTGCCTAGGGCCCATGATACTTTTCGGGGCCCATGAAAATGCTTTAATTTCTTTTAAACTCAGAAGGGGGAAAAAAAAACTTTTAGGGTCCAAGAAAATGTTTTAATGTTTTCCTCGCCTCAGGGGGGAAAAAAAACACTTTTCGGGCCCGTGGAAACCTATTCCGTTTTGCCTAAAAAATAAATACAAGGCTGAAGCATTTAAAGTTATATCCACAATCATTGTAATGTTGATATGATGATGGTGGGAGGGGCCCACGCAGGTAAAAGTGCCTGGGGCCCACGCAAGTCATAATGCAGCTCTGCCCAGGGGCTTTCCAGGGGGGGCAGAGGAAAACACTTTTCGGGCCCGTGGAAACCTATTCCGTTTTGCCTAAAAAATAAATACAAGGCTGAAGCATTTAAAGTTATATCCACAATCATTGTAATGTTGATATGATGATGGTGGGAGGGGCCCACGCAGGTAAAAGTGCCTGGGGCCCACGCAAGTCATAATGCAGCTCTGCCCAGGGGCTTTCCAGGGGGGGCAGAGGAACTTTTA